GCCCCTAACCTTCTCCTCCTGGGGCTTTGCTGCTGACCCTTGGGGAGATGAAAAGCAAAGCACCCACAAGCATCAGCCCGGTGACTCCCAGGTGTCCAGGGCTCTGTCCTGTCCTCCCCTGGGGCCAGGGCCAGTGGGCTGCCCAGGGAGGCAAGGCATATCCCACAAGTCTTCGAGGCAGCCCTCCCCCTCCCCTTACTCATAAGCCAGGCTGCAGCCACCCTGGCTGACCGGTTGAGACTGGCTGGGGGAGCGCTCAGGCATGCAGGGAGCCAGCCAGCAGCCAGGGCTTGGAATGGACAACCACCTGGACACAGCTCCTCTGAAGCGAGGGGGCCGCTGCCCTGCTCTCCGCAAGCTGGTCCCCGTCGGCTTTAGGGCTGAGGCATGGAAGCTCTTTGTCCTGTCTGGACCCCTGGTAAGGAGGCAGAGGTGAGGGGCCAGTGAGGCCGGGGGCCAGCTGATCCAGGCATGACCTGGGGTGTGCCAGGGGCTGCCCACAACCTTCCCCAGAAACTTCCCAGGTTGACCATGTTCAAGCTGCGCCAGGGGCTGCTGCCCAGAGCAGGTGATAGCAGACAGCTGTCCCTGGATAACGGGTAACGGTGGGGCCTGGCCATGCTCAGCAGGGACGTGCCTGTCCTCCTTCAGAAACCCACAGGAAGGCTGGGTTGAAAGATCTCAGGATGACAAGTGAGAGCCACTGATGCAGGAGCCTGCAGGTCTCATCAGGAGGCGTCTGCAGGGGCAGAAGAGCCCTCTGCTCTTTTTATTTCCAAAATGGCTTTAGATACATTTTTTCCTGACCACAAAAGCTAATTGATATGTGCTCCTTTAAAAAGTTTCAGACAAAGCAAACGGTTGTAAAGAAGGAAGAGATCACCTCCAACCTCCACACCTGGGCACCGCCGCGGCTGAGATTTCGGTGGACTTTAGTCCTCCTCTTTCTGTTTATTTGTGGCCTGGTCAAATGGTTCTAGTAATGACACCAACGGCAGTATTGAATGCTCACGTTAAGCTCTCCGAGTGCCAGGCTCCGTGCTAGGTGTCTCATGCATTCCTGCACTTTTAGGCAAGAAAACAGCAGCCCGGCGGCTAACACAGCTGGGGACGGCGCAGGAGGAGCAGCACCCAGGTGCTGCCTTCCCGGCCCTGGCTGCTGTGCCAGCCTTAGCCACACCGCTCCCTGGCTGTGGGTGATGTGCCTGGTAGCGAGTGATTTTTGCAGGTCACTGGTGTGAACACGGGTCTGGGATGGGGTGGCAGGGACTGGCAGGCTGAGGCAGAGCTGAATGGCGCACTTGACCCAGGCTGTCACCCTCCAGTTCCTGTTCCAGATGCTGTCCTTCATGATCTATGTCGTGAGCTCGGTGTTCTGTGGCCACCTGGGCAAAGTGGAGCTGGCATCGGTGACCCTCTCAGTGGCCGTGAGTACAGCCAAGACTGTGAGGGGATGGTCTCTCCCGGGGTTCTCCCCTGGGCTTCCAGAAGAAGACGCAGCATGAGAGCTGACGGCTGCATTCCCAGCTAGGACCTGAGGCCCTCACCAGACGGGACACAGTGCATGTGGGCAGGGCCATCGTGGGAGGAGTGTCTGGCTCAGCTGCCCATCAGAGCTGGGTGGCCTTGCCCCAAATGCAGGGTCCCCTCCTGGGCTCCTCCTGACAAATCCTGTGTTTTCTCCTGTGTGTGGCTTCAGTTTGTCAATGTCTGTGGAGTTTCCATAGGATTTGGCTTTTCCTCAGCATGTGACACCTTGATGTCCCAGGTGGGTGAGCCTCCTGGAGCTGGGCAGGAGTAGTAGAGCAGATCCCTCAACTGCTGCAGAAATGGTGGAGGATGGGGGCCCCCCAAAGGCCCCTTAGTGCTCCCTGGAGCTGGGAGCCTGTCAAACAGACCCGGTGGGGCAGCTGCCTCCTCCTTCCCCACCTACCCCCTAAAGACCAAGTGCTGCCAAGAAACCAGACCCTCCCCTTTGAAAGTCTGGGCAGGCAGGCAAGAGAATCCTGGAAGAAAGGGGTGGAGACAGCTCTCTGCCCTGGTGGGTCAAATGCTGAGGGTACAGAGATAGGAACCCCCTGCCCTCGGGGACCCAGGGTCCAGTGGGGGCTCAGCTACCCCAGAGTTTTAGGCTTATGGTGGACCTGAGGACCTGGGTTTGGCCCTGCTGCCACTTATGAGCAGGGTGACTTGGCAAATGCTCTCAGCACCTCCCTTGCCTCAGCTGTGATGTGGGGAATAACACTTTCCTCACTAGGTGCTTTGGAAGAGCTGGGGACCATGGGTGGACAGGATGAGCTGGGTCAGTAGCCGCTATTATAATTCTGGGGGCTGCTGAACCCCTGAAGAGGGTGCCACCCAAGGCTGTACCTAGGGCTGCCAAGTGTCTGCCACTGAGGGCCCCGAGTGGTACCTGCTATTGTGGCAGGACCCGTCCTGCAGCATGAACACTGCTAGCAGGTTGGCACTGGCTGGGCTCACCCAGGGGACAGAGAAAGCCCTGGGCACAGGGGTGGCTGTTTTGCAGAGCTTCGGCAGCCCCAACAAGAAGCACGTGGGGGTCATCCTGCAGAGGGGCGCACTGCTCCTGCTGCTCTGCTGCTTCCCCTGCTGGGCGCTCTTCCTCAACACCCAGCACATCCTGCTGCTCTTCAGGCAGGACCCGGACGTGTCCAGGTACCACTCGGCTCCTGCCGGGAAGCTGGGGAGGGACCCCCTAAAGAAGCCCCCTCCAGACGCAGTCACAGGTGCAGGTTCTGGGGGACAGTTCCAGGTTAGGATTTGGGATTCTTCCTCACAGCATGCTGCTCCAGCTGCGACCAGCAGGAGGCAGACAAATGGCCAGCTTTAATTAGGGAGGAAAAAAAAAATAAGGAATTTGCATGTTATTTGCATTTGTGTCCCAGCACCAGTTGGGACTTCACAGATGCTTTTGAAGAAATGAAGTGTGCACTACCTCATATTCCAAAAAGGAGAGAAGACTGGACCAATTTCTGATGAACTGCACAGCTTATTATTAATTTTAGAAACATCCTCTCATAGAAATGCCTTGTTCATTTTATATTATGTACACTCATTTAGCTATTTCTAGATAAGAGAGAACTTTTTCTGACCCTCTTACAAACCACAGATTACTCCAAATTTAAGTTCCCTAGTCATGAGGTTGGGTCCTTGGGTTCCTCTTCCTCCTGCATTGGTGGCAGGAGTTTCCCTTGCCTTGGTGGGGATCTATAGGGCCTGGGGTAGTCTCTCCTCGAACCCGGGGTTCCCAGGATGTCCCCAGTATAGGAGGGCACAGCCTGGTCAGCTCCGAAGCTTCTGGTTCTCTCGCAGGCTAACCCACGAATACGTGCTGATTTTCATGCCAGCACTTCCGGTGAGTGCGGGCTGCTGGGCCGGAGGGGGTGGACCTACACTCTCCCCAGCCCTGGATTCCCGCTGTTTGCCTTTCTGCCCCTCGGTGGGAGCATGTCAGCCTCAGCGACTTCCCGCTGTGCAGCGAGGGTGGCTGAAGGGGTCGGAGGGAAGTTCCCTTTCTGGGCGGTGCAGATGGAACTTTGAAAAAGCAACAGAACTTGTTTTTCTGATTAGAAACCACTTATTGAAGAAATTGTAGAAAGCTTGGGGAAGAAAAATTTCAAATCATCTATAATCCTACCACCCAGTGAGAACATAGGTTCTCTTTTCTGGATTATTTCTATTCACGGGTGTATGGTTTCAAACACACATACACATATACAGTCTGAAATGAGGCCAGTGTGTGTATATTGTATTATAACCTGCTTTTTCCCTTTCAAATATGTCATTAGACCCTTGATATTATTAAATAGCCCCTCCTTTCTTCCCCATGAAAGGGGAAGAGTCCTGAGTACTAAACAAACAGCGTGCCCGCTGGGGTCAGTTCCTGAGGCTGCTGGCCTGACCGCACCTCTCCGTGGTCCACTGCCACGCTGGCAGGCCTGCGGAAGCTTAGTGGCCATGGTACTTGCCCCCTGGCAGTTCTCTGTCAGGGATGGCCGTGCCAGCTGGAGTTGCCTTCCTGTCTCTGGCACTGCAGCACCCCTGTATCCTCCAGGGCACCAGGGGGCAAAGCTTGTGCGGAAAAAGCTGGGAAGGGAATGGGTCTTGAAACTTCAGAGTGCTTGAAAGCGTGCCCAGGTCTGGCAGGGTGTGCCCCACCGCACCAATGGAAAGGCCAGTGCCTTGACCTCTTTGGGGCCTGGGCAGCTCCAGATTTCTTTTGTATCATGGAAACCACCTGAAAAGGCTGGTGTTTCTCTTCCAAGTCTTCCCTAGAAACCATGCTTTGGCTCTTCACACCAAGATGATGGTATTTTGTCAAACAGGGCCATGTACCAGGGCAGGGAAAATATCCTATAAAGTTATCACTGTGGCAACTCCTTTATCAAATAAAAGCTTATCCCGCCCACAAAATGCAGCTGCAAAATTTAATTAACAATAATGTTTACCTAACATTTGGAATGCTTAAATATGCCAAATACTGTTTTTATAGTCACTTGCATATGTGTGTTTATTTAGATATTAGATAATACACACATGATTAAAGATAAGGGAACAGGCAAGAGACTTTTGGTAATTTGCCTAGAATCACATGGCTCCTAAGAGGCAGACCCAGCATGACCTCAGGCGGTGTAGGTCTAGCTCCATGCTCTTAGTCACTGTGCTCCACTGAAAAAGAAGTGGAGGCTAAGGGAAGGGATGGGGCAGGAAGGCACAGGCCCTGGGCCAGGCTTCGACAGAGGACAGAAAGAGCAAGGGCAGTGCCCGGACACCCCCGCCCCCCATGCCCCTGTGCTCCACAGAGAGGGAAGGCCCTGCCTCCCTTCATGGGGCCTTAAACCTACCCCCAGGGGCTCCTGGTGGCCAGCATTGTTCAGTTCCCACGCCTCTAGTCCAAGGCCACTTCCTCCAGATTCTTTTCTCCAGCAGCCAGAGCCAGGCACAGGGGTGGTCACACCTGTGGATGTGGGCTCTGGTGTGTCCTGTGTGCAGAAGGACTGGGCAGACTTCCTAAGCTGATAGAAGGCCTGGGTTGGCAACCAGAAACCCTGCCAGGCCCTCTGCTTCTTACAGAAGCCTGGGAACTGCTCTCTCCTGGAGCCAGCGTCCTCGCCTGCTTCTTGCCCTGTGGCAGAGCAGGAGCCGAGAGGCCTCTCCCACAGGCAGGGCCAGAGCACAAATCCAGGTGAAGCCTACCTGTTGGGTCCCAGACATAGTCTGGTGAAGTAATTGCCCCAAAACTCAGATACCTAAGAAATATGTTAATGTTTGTCTGGAGGTTTTTTCATATTTATTTGTGTGTGTGTGTTTGTTTTTTTTTATGCAGGTGATTTTTCTTTACAGCCTGCTGGCAAAATATTTGCAAAATCAGGTACAGGTCCCTGGCTGAGGGGTGGCCAGCGCACTGCCCAGTTCCGGGGGGGAAGGGGCCCCGGGAGCTTTCTGCCTCTCAGCCCCTGCTGAGTCCTAATCGCTGGCACAGGGGCCAGTGAGGAGCAGTGTGTCTCCAGCCTCTTTCCAACCCCTAGATGTGCCCACGCTTGTCCACACCCCCTGGTCCTGCTTGCCGCATAGCAAGGCCAGGTCAGTGTTCATTTATTTCAGGGGATCATCTGGCCCCAAGTCCTCAGCGGCGTTGTGGGCAACTGCATCAACGCCTTGGCCAACTACATCCTGGTTTCCATGTTGAGCCTCGGGGTCAGGTGAGGCTGGTGGGCTTCGGGGGCCTGTTGGGGAGCACTGCCCATCAAGCATCCATCCCTGACTGGGGCAGGTCAGTTATCATCCTTGCCTCACCCATGACAAAAACTGGTGGCTGCTAGAACCGTCCAGAAATGGGGGGTCATGGGGAATTTGATGGGGACTCACCACCAAAGAGACAAGGAGAGGAGCCACTCCCCACCCTTGCCCCTGCCTGCTGGGCGAGGCGAGGCGATCCTGGGAGGGGCTGCCAAGCAAGCCATGCCTGTGCCCCTCCATCCCATGCTGGCTTCGGCAGGGGACACTCTCCTCCCAGGGACAGAGTGGGCCATCAGCTGCTGCCCTCCCCCCTCTCCTTTCCCAGGGGCTCTGCTTACGCCAACACCATCTCCCAGTTCGTGCAGACCATCTTCCTCCTTCTGCACATCATGGTGAGAAAGCTGCATCTGGAGACGTGGGCAGGTAGGGAGCCGCCCTGCTTCAGGGGGCTGAGCGGGGGAGCATCGGGGGCCCCAGCGGGCACAGGGTGTTCCTTTGGCAAACAGAGGGCCCAGTTGGAACCCCATTGGAGGAGCCCCATCCCCAACCTGCCTCTATTTCCCTTCAGGGCCCCCTTCCCTTTGCTCCACCCCTCAGGACTCCCACCTCGAAGTCCTAGGTCCCCTCATCCCATGTGCCTCAGTGCAGAGCCCTGCTGGAGACAAGCTCAGGGAGCCTTCCGCTGGCTCCTTAATCTTGGGATGGTGATTAGAGTAATAGTAATAACACAGGTAAAATCCCAGGTGTCAGCGCTGGGCTGAGTGCCCCACATTCTGGATCTCAATTAAATTGCACAACACCTTATTCCCATTTCATTTACACGGAGGAAACTGAGACAAAGAGGTTAAGTAATTTTCTCAAAATGCCAAAGATGGTAGATAGTGGGGCCTGGACTCAAACCCATGGCTGTCTACTTCTCGGCTTCAGGTTCTGAGCTTCTCTGCCTCTTGAAACCTAACTCTGCAGCCTGTGGACTCCACTTCCAGGCATTTCAGGAATAGCTCTGGGGCCCGCAGGCTCATTCAGGCCAAGGCAGGCCTGCCTGGCCCTACCCCTCTCCAAGCCTGCACAGCCCTATCTGCTCAGCTAATCCCTTTGCATCCTTGATCTCATGCCATCCTCCCAACAGCCTTTCTGGGAGGCAGGGCAAATATAAGGACTCAAATTTCCAGCTGAGGAAACAGAGCACAGAAAGGGCAGGGTACTTGCCCAAGATCCTGTGGTGTTGTAGGCGGAGTGGGAACCCCCACCTGGGCCCTAGGCTCCCATCCCGAGCTGCTCTATGGCATGAGCTGCTCTATGGATTTTCCTGGGAGCTGAAGGCCAAATAGGAACATTTCTTGTTGTGCATTTGCCCTGTCCCTACCCCTTCCTCCTCCTCCCCCATCAGCACTGGACCAGCTGGCACGCCCTGAGTAAAATGCCAAGTGCCTGGACCTGTTGAGCTGAGCTCAGGAATGGGCAGAGCCGAAGGCCTCAGGGGACCCAGCAGCGGGTTCTGCTGCTCAGCTCTTGGGGCTTCTGTTCCTAGGCTGGTCCATCCAGTGCCTGCAGGACTGGGGCCCCTTCTTCTCCTTGGCCCTCCCCAGCATGCTCATGATGTGCATTGAGTGGTGGGCCTACGAGATCTGGAGCTTCCTCATGGGTATGTGGCAGAGCAGGGTGGGGGGACCATGTGGGTGGCTCACGCAGCTCAGAAGGCCCCTCCCCGGTAGGTAGTTCACCAGCCCAGCCCAGGCTGTCAGTTGCTCCCTGTCTCCTGTCAGTCCATGAGCTCCCAGAGGGCAGGCCTGGGCCTTTTATGTTGACTCCCAGCACTGCCCTGACACTGAGTGGGCACCCAATGCAATGAGGTCAAGTCAATGAGGGAGCGGGAGGTGGAATGGGCATGTGCATGAGTATGAGTGGGCCTGGCAGGCGTGGGACTCTCACCTGAGCACTCAGCGCAGAATCCAACCAATCTGAAACCCAGAAGACCAGTGCTGTAGTTGCCCCCAGAGACCTTCTAGTCCAACCCTGTCCCCCATTGACAGATAGGAAAACCAAGCCCCAAGAGCAGGAGAGACTGTTCAGAATCACACAGTGGCAGAACTGAGACTGAACTTGGTTTCCTGCTCTTGGTCCGGTTCTCTGTCCACACATGCCACATGCTTCACAGAGTCCAGCCTGAAAGCCAAACCTTCCTGGGGAGGACCTGCAGAAAATTCCGTAACACTGGGCAGGATTTTCCTGGGAGTTGAAGGCCAAATAGGAACGTTTCTTGTTGTGAATTTGCCCTTCAAAATCATTTACCCCTTGGCCTCCAAAGCGGAGGGGTGTTCTGTCAGCCTGGGTCCCTTAGCTGGCTTCAGGGCCGTGCTCACTCTTGCCCTCCCACAGGTCTGGTCAGCATGCTGGACCTCTCCGCCCAGGCCATCATCTACGAGGTGTCTACAGTAACCTACATGGTGAGGCTCCTTGAGGGGTGCCTTTGCCATGCCCTCCACCCCGACCCAGCACCCCTGTTGCCCTGGGAGCAGTTGTCACTCCAAAGACCATCTCTGTCTCCTGAGGGACCCTCTCAGACCTCCCATGCCCATCAGGTGCAGGGCTTGCCAGATTCACGCAAGCTACCCACAGCCACGCCCCTGGGGGTAATAGTGAACTCATATGATGTTAGAATTCTTTTTAAATTAATTAACACCATTTTTAAATTGGGAGATTTTACATCATAATCTGGATTTTTGCATTTTCTTGAAAAATGGGACATTGTATTTAGCATTATATTTACCATGTTCCCACACACCCTTTGGAGAAATCTGGGTGACAGTGTCTGTGGGGCGGGTGGGCATTGCTCTTTTCCAACACTGTCCCTGGTGCCCCCCTTACTCCAGAGGCATGGGCTGTCCCTTGTTACTCATGTACAAATCTGCCTGGCTTCTGGGGCATGCGGTCTGTGACCCCAAGTTTAAGCAAAAGATTCACAAAAATCTACTTTATAAGGTGATTCTTATTGTTACAGATGGTTTGCACTGAAAAAAATGTTTTCTTACAGAGAGCTTTTCTGGCATACTTAGGGCCATATTTGCCTTTTAAAAATTCATTTACTCATGAGGTTTTGGGAGCACAATGATTTCGACTGCAAGTCAGGTCTGCTGTGACAGTTGAAGTGGATGGGGACGGCGATGCTGGCCCACTTGGGGTATCCGCACCCCATCACCCAACCTCAGATGAGGTGTCACCACCTGCTTTCAGCACCCTTTTCTCATGCAGCCTCCCTAGGGTCCATCCTGTCTCCACTCTCCCCGCTCAAGGCCCAGGTTGGAGGGCTGGAGGGCTGCTTCATAGCCAGCCTAGGCCTCTCTCTGGCGCAGGAGCCACCCCACCTCAGCGTGGAGGGTGGCTCCACTGATAGCACCTTCTTATCTTGACCCCAGGTTCCCATGGGACTCAGCATCTCTGTCTGTGTCCGAGTAGGGACGTCCCTGGGAGCTGCAGACACCGTGCAAGCTAAGCGATGGGCCATCTCCGGCGTGCTCTGCACAGGTGGGTGGAGCCCTCTCCTGGGGTGAGGGGACTTGGAAAGCCAGAAAGTCAAGGGCCTGGACCAGGGCAGGGCCTTGCATGTTGGGGGCAGGGCTAGCCTTGGGAGCAGACAGGCTTACCTTCCAAACCTGCTGTGCCTGCTGTCTGGTCCAGAGCAGCCCCTGTTGATACGTTGACGGTGCCTCACCCCACACTCCCTGAGCAGCAAACATCTCTCTTGCCTGCTGTGCCCGTTCTGCACTCCTTCCCTGCTGCTGGGTCCTTGGGCCCTTGCAGGGACAGCTGCCACCACTCACCTCTTCCTCCCCGGGCGTCTCCCCCCAGCGGCCCAGGATCTCTGTAGGCTTGCCCTCCCGGCATCCCCAGGAGCTGGGACCTGCCCATGCACCTGCAGGAGGAACCAACCTTGTATCCTTCACATGGCTCTGCTTCCAGAGGCCAACAGGTTCAGATCAGCTCCTCTGTGGAGAGCGGGGCTCTCAGGCTTCAGACAGCATTGGGTCGCCTAGGGGCAGCTCAAAGCACAGGTCACCTGGCCTCACGGGCAGAGTCTGGTTCAGTCGGTGGGAGATGAGGGTCTGAGAATCTGCAGTTCTAACTTGTTACCAGGTAATCTTGATTCTGCTAGCCCAGAAACCCCACTTTGAGAACCGAGGGAGGAAAGACATTTTATATGTTGTCCTTCCTACAGGATGGCAGAAGAATGTCATAGTCCAAATGAGTGACTCTAAGGCAGGGGCTCGGGGCGCCCAGTGTGCAGGGCCGGCTGACCTGTGCTGACCGAGCTGGACTCCCTCATGGGTTGTGTTTAGCCAAATGCACTTCCTTTGCCTCTTTCAGTTGGCACCTCGCTGGTCATCGGCACCCTGCTGAGCCTCCTGAGAAATAAACTGGGTTATATTTTTACCAATGATGAGTAGGTAATCGGTTTTCTTCACTGACTTCTGGGAAATGTCACAGTGGTTTGCCGCCGATCCTCAAAGATTTGTCACATGCCTAGCTTGGCCCTGGGTCCCATCACAGCAGGACTGGCCCTGGGGAGGAAGCCAGTGCCTGCGCTTGTCCCCCAGGTTGCGGCCTCCACCACTTGCTTGTCCAGAGACAAGACGCTGACCAGAGGCAGTACAAGGCTGGGGGTCCTCTGGAGTGTGGGAAGGCCCACAGATGTGGAGAAACTCGGCAAGGGGTGCCGGGCTTGTGAGGGGTAACTACCTCTCTTCCCAGCACTTGGGGGAGGTGGTGTGACAGAAGGAATAAAACTAGGTTTCTGAGGACATAGCCACACGTTGGTGCTGCTAACGAGCGCCCCTCCCGCTGTCCCGCAGGGAAGTCGTGGCCCTGGTGAGCAAGGCCATGCCCATCTACGTCGCCTTCCAGCTGTTCGAGGCCGTCTGTGTGAGTACCGAGGAGGACTGGCCGCCGCGGGCTGGGCTGCAGCAAACCCCAGGGCTCCCTCACCTCAGCTCCGCTTCTCCTCAGCACAGGGACTGCCCCGGCCTCCCGCAGCCCCAGCGAGGCCAAGGGCGAATGCGGGCGCAGCACGGAAAATGCCGCGCCGTGTAAACTCGCACGTCTTTCTCCCTCCCGGCTCCTCACGAGCTGGGCTGCCCCGTGCCCCGACTGGCCGCGCGCTCGGCAGCAGCCATGCCCTGCGCTCAGCGCACGGGGCATTTCTGAGAGGGAGCGAGGCAGCCCAGAATACAGAGGGACCGGAATTTTCCGCTCCTTGGACCACTGAGGGACGGCTTCCATTTAGCGCAGAGCTGAATTCCGTGAATTTTAAAAAGCATGGCATAAAAAGAGAAAGGAAAGCCTCGTTCTGTAAGCGGGGTTTGGAATCCTGTGTCTTCTCCTTTACACCCTGAGCTCATCCCCTGCGTGGACCCAGCAGCTCTGTGCAGGCGGCCGCCCCGCCAGCAGCACAGATGCTGTGCTCAGAAAACAGCCTGTCGGGAGAAATTACATTTGAGGCAGGTCTTCCCGTAGGACTCAGAGCACACTGTGCAGCTGGCTACATATTCTAGAGTTTTCCTTTGAATCCAGCTGGACACTCGGAGAACATTCCTGGAGCTCAGCAGAACGGCTTCCTCTGGGCTGTGTTCTGTCATCGTATCCATAGTTCTTATCACGGAACATGAAAAGAAACTCTCATGGAATCTAGTATTGCTTTTGCCATAGGGTATTGTTAAGGATACTATTCATATTTTTCCTCTTGACCTCTGACAATGGTGGGGAACAGCTTGGCAGCTCTCAAGAAGCTAAGTAGCCTCCTCTCCAATGGGCAGCACTTCTCTGCTCAGTTGGACTCTCCAGGAACTTGGAAACAAATGTGCAGCCAGCAATTGTAAGGGCCTTACAGCCTGTGGACCTGCACTCTGTCATCTTTCCTCCTGGACGTATTTACATTATTCATTCATTCATTTATTTATTTAATTTTTGTTTAAAATATTGCAGATGCCCCTTTTTCTCCCCAATGACCCGTTCCACCCCGTCCCACCCCCCTCCCCAGTCCTCTCCCCACCATTGTCCGTGTCCTTGGGTTGTGCATATA